GCATGAGACTGCATTCCCAGTCACCTGCCTGGACCCCTGGGCAAGTCCCTGAAGCCCTCTGAGCCTTTCATCACCTCTGCACTGGCTGTGACAATAGCTGTGTGCTTGGAGGACCATGGAGTGGCTCAGGCTCTCAGAGGGAGTGTATCAGGATTGAGTGACCACAGTAGGTTCTGCAGATGCAGTATTAGGGAGATGCAGTATCTTTTCTCTAAGGTGGTGCTGTGTGGGGACAGAAGCACAGAAGAGAGTACCCTGTGACAAGCACTGTCATCCTGGGCATTGGGACCTCACAGGGAGCTGACTTCACTAAAAGCTGGATCCTGCTTCTGTCTTTGGAATCACCTTGGACTCTGCTGGGCTTGTTCCAACCACCTTTGCCCTGTTCCTTCCATATCCATATTTTTGCCGGGTCCTCTGTAACTGCCACTGTCCCTACCTACCTAGCTACCTACCTACCTACCAACCTTAAATCAGATTGAGCTGAACTTTCTTTTGCTTCCTGCCTGTGGTCCCCTCCCGTGGCAGTTCTCTGTGCCCTCATTTTCCAGTTTCTAGCCCTTCTCCTGCACATTCCTTTGGACCTGGGCTGTTCCCACTTGGAGCTCTGAGCCCCTCCTCACCACCAAGCCCTGCTCCCCTGGCCTATCTGCACCTCCACTCGTTCTGCAGATTCAGAGAAGGCTAAGGGAGGAGTTGGCAGCCTGTGTTCCTACCCTGGCTTCACAGCTGGGAGCTGGTGACACTGAGCCAAGTTTTATTCTCTTTGACTCACCTTCTTCTTCTGGGAAGTGGAACTGAAATGAGCAATGACGACCACGATAAGCAGTGTGCAAACAGCTGTATGTGTTAGGCACGGGTCAAATGGATTCCCACACCAACTCTCCAGGGGGGGTCTTTGGCTGTCACAGATGCTTTAGGATGGGCAATTGCCAAGAGCAGACTTTCATTCCTCATCTGGAAGACTGGTAAGTCCAGGATCAAGGTGCTGGCGTTGGGGCTCTAGCGTGGTGTCTTGCTGATGCTCACATGGCCGAAGAGCAGAAGGACAAAGGGGACAAAAAAGGAGGGAAGGGACAGACTGCCCCTCACACCTCCTTTATTGGAAGGTGCTGAGCACATCTGTGAAGGCTCCATCCTGACGACTTAATCACCTGCTGAAGTCCCCCTCTCAATACTGTCAAGTTGATGATTAAGCTTCAACGTATGCGTTTGAGAGGACAAATCCAGATCACAGCAGATGGTAACAGTCACTCCCTTATGGAGCCATGAAAAGACAGTTGTGCCTCAAAAACACTGTGTACATTTTACCTTTATTGTTAATATAATTATTGTTATAATGTATGAATGCTAACTGGTTAGAGATGATTTATATAACTCTCCATTAAGTATTTGAAAACATATGGATAACTTTTCAGTCCCAGTAATTGTTCTTGTTAGAGTAACATTATTCCCTTTTCTGGGGAATCTTTTAAGAATATTTTTGAAGAACATTGTTGAGTTTTTCAAGTTTTAATTATTTCTAAAATTGGATTATCACTTTCTTTCTGAAATGTTTGTATTCTAACAACATGCCATCAAAGAGACTTCTTTGGGGAGAAAAAAAGACATTAATTTTTTTTTTGTATATTGTTGGATAATGGCCCGTTGGATGAGAGTTGGTCATTATTTGACCAAAAAACCCTCCATAGATATTTTATAAATGTGAACTATCTCCATATCAAAGGTCCTGTCAGAGACAGCCCAGGTCACAGACCCTTCAGTCCCCTGGGTCTGCAGCTCTGCTTGACAGCACAAGACCCAGTGTAGATGATGAATGCCTGCCTACCACCTTACTGGTTGGATTAACAAATTTCTATAAAGAAAAAAAGGAATGACATTGCATGCTTTCTCTCCGTGGAGCCATCTTACGGTCAAGCAGTAAGACGTGGGTTTTGTCCTGTCCTGAAAGCCATATTGGAGCCCTATCCTGTCCTCCCAGTAAAAATCTTTTCCTAGGGAACCTGAGGAGTTTCTTGTATGGTCGTGAGAGCTAAATATCGTTTGGGGCTTTGGAGTGGCTACCCAACTGAAGTTGATCCAATTTCCGGTCCATGGGGCTTGTTAACGTGGCATTGAGCTGTGCTGGAGGCTGTGTGAGTGAACCATCTGGCACAGGGAGCTTTTCCTTGATCAACAACATTTTTTTGTGAAAGAGTCAAAAATTAAGCAATTAAAGATCTCAGAACCCTGGATGGAGACGGGAAAATATGTTCTCTAAATGTCAATGTAACTACTGAAATCTGTCTGGGGTCTTTCCGTTCCCCTTTACAGTGCTACCCTGAGCATTAGGAAAATCTGGATTTGAGTGGACAGGGAGTTTTTCTATATTTGTCAAATTTCAGCTGTTTCTGAACATGTGCTCAGGTTCCTCATGGGTTCCACAGAATCTGAGCATGAGGGATTTCTTAAAATTAATTTTAAGATCACGGAAAGCTGGAATATTAACATAATAACAGCCGCTTAGGTTACCTTCTCTGTGTAAAGAAAAATTGAATGATGGGAGCAAACAAATAGAATTCTCAGGCTTCACTGCTGGACAAGAAAGGGCGCCCCTTGTCAGTTTCCAACCATGTGTTGAGTTCTCTTCACTCTGCACATGTCCTCGACTCCCCAGAGAGTCTTCCAAGCTGAAGATGCTGTTGTCCATGATAGAAAATGAAGCCCGGGGTGGGGGGATAATTTCCCCAGTGTCACACAGCAGGTGACAAAGTGCTAGGGCCCAAGTCCGCTGAACTCTTTCTTCTGCATTCCCTGGTTCCTGGGGTGCACCAGACACAGCTCTTGGCTGTTCGTGTTCCCACTTTTTCCTTGTTTTCCTCAGTCCTTCACTTCCTTAGTCCATCTCGTTGGCTCAGAGCGCTCGCTGTGCGGGGCCTTCTGGCAAACACACCGAAGGGTGACCCACGTGCAATTCTCAAGAATTTATAAATCAAGCTGGAGGATGCACGCACACACACTCCCCACGTACTGCTCACACCCTGCACTGCTGTAGGAGGACCATGGCAGACGAAGACTGTGGGGACTTGGATGAGAGAGAAAGGCGTCCCTTTTGTCTCCAGGGATGGCGTGAGTGGATCAGCCCTGAATGTGGACCGTTTTTGCTGAATCCTGAGGGCACAGTATGGGTGCATCCTGAGGCTGTGCCAGGTCTGATCCTCCCTCTGCTCCTCCTGCTGTGGGCTCCTGGCTGGCCTCCGGCCTCTGTCCTGGTGTGCCGTGCTCAGGTCTCCGGGCCGTGTGGTTTGAAGGTGTGGAAGGACTCAGGCCAAGGGCTCCTGCTGCATCTACTTTCCCTCTAGGAGCATCCAAAAGCTCAGGGCCATACATTATGAGCCTCTTCTCCTGGGTCTGGGGTCGCCCAGGGTGTGTGTTCCAGCTTGTCCTCCCGGAAGACTCTGCCTCCCACACGGCTACGGCTGCCCCTGGGCCTCTCTGTGGCTGGGCTCCCGTCTGCACTGGGTGTACTTCTGGGCTTGAGCAGCTGGGCTGGAACCTTCCAGAGATGCTCTTTATAGGACCCTAGCTGCTAGAGGGCAGAAGCATGGAGAGGCCCTATTTCAGTCGTTTCTATAGCCGTACCCAGGGCCAAGGCTCGGGGCTGAGCACAGGGTCACAGAGAAGTTTGTGGTGTGTGCTCTTGAAGTAGGAAGTGAAGACATGAAGAGTGGTCTAGAACCCTCCACAGCGAACAGAGGGACAGGTCAGGAGAGCCCTGAGATGGAGCTCTAGACAGCAGGAAAGCATGGGCACTTGACCAAGGTGGATACGCAGACGCTTCAAAAAGCTCACGTGGCACTCAGCAAAGATCCTCGCGTGTGCGGAGCTGGAGTGGCAGAGGTGGGGACAGAGGGCGTAATGATGAAGCTGTGGCATGATGAAGCCTAACGTGGAGGCGATGGCGGTGAATGAGGGAGAAGGTGTGGAGGGAACTGCTGGCTCCTGAGGGTTACTCTAGGCACCTGGCTGGATGTGCCTAGGAGGAGGAGTCATGGCGGGGACTGGCCTCTGTTAGAGAGCAGGAGGAAAATCGGGTGGATGGAGTTTGGGTGCAGTGGGGGAAGGGGCAGCAGGACAAACGAGAAGGTAGGTTGGACATGGGGACAAGGATGCCGAACAGTGATCACTGCTGAGCAGCACTGCCCTGGGCGACCCTGGGAGCGGGAGGTGGGGGCAGTCAGTGTGACAGCGGGTGGGAAGAGGTAGGAGCAGGACTAAAGAACACAGGGTGTGCTGGTGCCCCCGGGTAGAGGCAGATCAGAAGCAGGAGTGTGGGGTGGGGTGCCATAGAGTGACCAGGTCACTGCTTTTGAGAGGATTCTGTGACAGCAATGAGAAAGCTGGAGGAAGACACTGGGAGAGAGGTTATTACTGCTGCCATTAGTGTCCTTACGCCTCACACAGATCTTGTCTCCACGCTCTCCAGAAGAGAGGGAATGGCAGGAAGTAGTTTGAAGCCATAGAGAATTGGGGTGGGGGGTACTGAGAGCCAGGACCCAGCTCTGTGAGAGGGGGTAGCAGGTGCGTGACAGTCCCTTCTCTAGTCCTTGTCTTAGTAAAGGACATATCACTTCCAGGGTAAATCAGTTTTAAAAGCATATTATTTGCACTGTGCTTATGCAAAAACTGCTCATGTATATATAAAATGGTGAAAATTCATGTCCCCTTGATTATTGCTATGGCTTTCTGTTGCTGTCTTCCATTTATCCCTAAATTTCCGTTTCTGACCCCACTTCAGTGTTGCTTTTCTAACAAGTACCACGTACAAGTGCCTTGACCCCCATGGGCAGGGGAAGTGTGCCTAAGTCAATCAATCACACCTGTCATTTTCCTGTCCCTTCGACTGCTGATGTAGACACGGTACAGAAATGCCCTTGAAAGTTCCCTGGGACCGAGGACAAGTAGCTCTTTGGCATTTAGTGCTTGCCATTTACTTATATGTTTCCACGTCACTCCAACAGAACTGCGACCTGGAACAGCAGAGCATCGTTCACATTGTGCAGAGATTGAGGAGGGGTCAGGAAGCAGACGCACCTGGAGGGGACGAGCCTAGGACCGCCTTGGGAGGCCCTGAGAGGGAGCCCAAGAGCTTGACGCGGGTGGACCTCAGCAGCTCCGTGCTGCCGGCGGACTCGGTGGGGCTGGCTGTGGTTCTGGACACTGGCAGCAGGAGAGACTCCACAGCAGCCGGAGGCCCAGGTACTGTGATGCGTCTGTCCAGGGCCGCGCGACGGTGGTTGGTTGCTCGCTCAGGGAAGTCTCTGTGCAGCGCGGCCTCCCCACGCACATGTCCCACCTCTGCCACGTTTGGACTGGAGTCTGAGTCACTGCAAGGAGGCCTCCTTAGAAGGAGAGTCCCTGGGTGTCACATGAGGGGAATACATGTAACGACAAGGGCAGGTGTCACATTAAAAGTGGACATCAGCATGGATGGCGGAGTGTCGGGACCACAACAAAACTGTGGGATGTATTTGTTTTCATTGTGGAGGAGCTGGGGATGGCGGGGACTTGAGATAAGTTGTATCAGGGTTTGACTGTATGACTAATGTACCTGCATGTCCTCCCATTTTGCTTTCTTCTGCTTCTTTCTTAAACTCTTTTAATTGATTTTGTTTCTTCATGATTTAGAGAAACTTTAAAAAGTAGAAAAAGGACTTTGGAGGTAATTGGAGCCATCTGCAGGCTCTCAGCCACATGTCACAGTGTCAGTGAAATCCCTCCATGAAGGCATTCGTTCTCCGGGCGGCAACCCCCCACGTGCTTACCTTTGATAAAGAGGTCAATGGGTCGATGCCTTTTTAACAAGATACCTGAGATTGGTGATTTATAGAGGACAGGAATGTATTCCTCACAGTTCTGGGGCTGGAGTCCAACATCACGGCACTGACAGGCTGGGAGCCTGGAGGATCTGGCCCCTGCATCTAAGAGGGTGTCCTGTTGGCACATCCTGCAGGAGCTGAAGGCTGTGTCCTCACATGGCAGAGGGGATGGCAGGTTCTTGAAATGATCCCTAAGCCAAAGAGAGATATTTTAGGGTGGTGTGTTCTGGTCTCCTGTACACTCAAGGCCGGGTATTGTCCTGCTGATTTATGATAGTGAACCCTAAGTTCATTTTGTGGATATTAATTCCATTCACCAGGGCAGTGGCCTCAGGACTTAAGCACCCCTCAGAACTCCCCCTCTTAGTACCATCACATTGGCATTTAGTTTTCAACAAGCATTTTGGAGGGGACACAGACATTCAAACTATAGCAGATGGTCATCCTTTTGTTATTTTGACAAGATTAATGTGTTTTTCTTACTCTCTTATTCTCCAGCATAAATAGACCAAAAATAGAACAGATTAATTTTGATTATGTGCACAGAAAACACCAAATAACTGATGTTACAGGTAGAAGTTTATTTGCCTCCCTCATGTAAGGATGGGTCAAGTAAAGATAGTCCTGGGCTTCATATGACCTTCATAGGGGCATCAAGTATCAGGAAATGCTTCCTGCTAAATTACTAAATAAAATCAAACACGTTTTAGAAATCACAGATGTGCTTGCAAAAACAGTGGGATAATTTCCAGGGGCAAATGAAAAAGTAGAAACAATGCAGATCATGGCCATCTGAAGTAGAAGACCAGATAAACAATCAGTTTTATTCCTACAGTGGTAACACTAAAGGATAGTTAACTGACCTGGATATACATGTATTGACATTAATAAATCTCCAAATCTTAGTGTTAAATTTAACAAAAGCTTGTAAATTATAAATTCTAGTAAGATATGCATCATGCAAAATTTCAGAACATAAAGCCCAAAGCAATTGTATGCATTGTTCATGGATAGGGTGAGTGAGCACATAATACATTTTGTCCAGACAGTATATCGTTGAGAGTCAAAGATGGCATTGAAATATAATCAGAATTTATATACCTTTGAAATATTTATTCATTGGCCAAGTTTGGCTTATTATGTAGTGGATTTATAAACTAGTTTTATAGTGTTATTTCCAAAATTTTTTTTCCAAAAATGGAAAATACATTCAGTTGCTTTAGAGTACAATTAAAGCTTTCTCTTAATTATTTCAACATGAATAATATTAGCAGAATAATCATCTTGTGCACATATAAACACAAGTAGTTTTCTAGTATATCTGACTTTAGAATTTTGCTACTGACATTTATCTGAAAAATGTTAAAATATAGTCTTATTATATTATCATAAAATTTCCTTTAGTCTTCAGAATTTTACTTCATGGTTTTGGAATTATTGACACTTTCAATTGACTTTCTCTCTAGACCATAAAACTTTTAGTTAAGAAAATATTCTCTCTCTGTACTTGGAGAAAATTCTAATAAATGTCGAATATCTCCTTTATATTTTAAGTTGAAATGTAGAATTATTTCGACCCAAACAATTGATGGAATAAATTCTTGAAAATTTACATGGAGTGGGGCTTGACCACAGGTCTCTGTGGCAAGAGCCTGATCTGTGATCTCAGCCCCAAACACGGGGCCACACCTCACTTTTCGCCCCAGCTGGTGCCTGCCATCCTCCAGTGTTCTCTGTTGGGTGCTGATCTTGGCACCAACAGCTGGTGCAGTGGGTGTCCTTGGTGTGTGGAAGAATTACCTGGGGTGCATGTTCCAAGTTTCTTTGGTGGCCAGAAATTCTTAAGCCACAGTAAGAAGAAATTCTATACTTATTCCATAACCAGAAATTCCGACTCAATTTGGCGGAGGGTAAAGTTCCCAAATGCCAGTGTCCTACAGCAAAGGTCTTCCCACTGTTCCACTGTGGCTCCTACCTGGTATCATCAGCAGGTGCCAGGTGGGAAGCGGGTCAGACAGAAGTGCACACACCAAGTCAATCCAAGCAATCTGGGCAATTTCCCATCTGCCTTTTAACCTACTAACCACATACAGCCCCTGCTATTTGGGAGAAAATGTTTGAAAACTTTTGCCTCATAAATCAGGAGAAATGGACCCTGTTTTCTGCATGTCACTTGGTATTGGAATTACACTGGGAAGAATTCAGGTGCTGGCTACGTGTAAGAGGGCTGAACAAGGCGAATAGCTGGACGATAGCTTCCCAGGAGCCAAAACGAGTGGAACTTCTGAAATCGGGCCTGTGCCTTTTAGGTATTTGTAGGTGAGAAAGGTGCTGGTCAACATGAGAGGTGATGTCACAGGCTACATTTTTTTTCTTTCTTTACTGCATTTTCATTGCTGCCTAGGAAGGTAATAGTTGTTCACAGTCTGATTTTCAGTTCTCCTGGTGGGAACCATTTGAATTTTTTGAGGGTTTTTTTTTTTTTTTTCTACATTTATTTTTACTGGTGCCTTATAGTTGTACATAAAGTTGGGATTGTGGTTACGTATTCGTACATGCACACAATATGACAATATGATTTGGCCAATATCACTCCCGGCACTTCCCCCTCCCTCCCCATCTCCTATCCCTTGGTTCCTTTCCTCTACTGATCTCTTTTTGAGATTTAAGAGATCCATCCCCAACTTTGTTTTCCTTTTTCCTCTCTACCTTTGGCATATGAGAGAAAACATATGACCCTGAACCTTCTGAGTTTCACTTATTTCACTTAACATGATGGTCTCTGGTTCCATCCATTTCCTACACATGAAATAACTTCATTTTTTCTTTATGGCTGAATTAAACTCCATCGTGTATATACACCACATTTTTCTTTATCCATCCATCGATGGACATCAAGGGTGGTTAGATGGTTTAGCTATGTGAATTGTGCTGCTATTGACAGGAATATTACATGTATTACACTAGTTAGTGTGACGACTTTAATTTTTCAGGGTAAATACCAAGGAGTGGTAGAGCTGGGTCATATGGTGGTTGCCTGCCTAGACTTTTGAGGAACCTCCATACTAATTTCCATAGTGGTTGTTCTAATTTACGTCTCATCAACAGGATCAAAGTGTTCCTTTTTCTCCACATCGTCTCCACCATTTATTATTATTTGTGTTCCTGATGTCTGCCATTCTAGCTGGTGTGAGAAGAAATTTCAGTGTAGTTTTGATTTGCATTTCCCTAATTGCCAGTGATATTGAACATTTTAAAATGTTTGTTGGCCATTTGTATTTCTTCTGAGAAGTGTCTGTTTATTTCATTTGATTCTTTATTAATTAGGTTATTTGATGTTTTGGTATAAAGCTTTTGAGTTCTTTATGTGTTCTAGATATTAATCCTCTGTCAAAAGAGTACCTAGCATAGATTTTTATCCCATTCTGTGAATTCTCTAAACACATTTCTAATGTCTCCTTTGCTGTGTAGAAGCTTTTAAATTTGATGCCATTTGTTACTCTTGGCATTATTTGCCGAGCTTTAGGGGTCGTATTGAGAATTTTGTTGCCTTTGCCTGTGTGCTGGAGTGTTGGCTCTGTTTTCCTCTGGGAGTTACAAAGTTCCTGGTCTAATCTCTACGTCTTTGATCCATTTTGAGTTTTTTTTTTGTATGTGTGTGTGTATGTGTGTGTGTGTGCAGCATGAAAGATAGAGGTCTAATTTAATTATGCTACATATGGATAATCTGTTTCCCTGCACCACTGGTTAAGGAGGCTGTCTTTTGTCCAGTGTATATTTTTGGCATCTTTCTCAAGGATCGGGTAACTATAGCTGTGTGTGTCTCCATGTCTTCTGTTGTGTACTATTGGTCTATATGTCTATTTTTATGCCAGTTCCATGCAGCTTTTGTTTTAAAGAGAGAGAGAGAGAGAGAGAGAGAGAGAGAGAGAGAGAGAGAGAGAGAATTTTTTTAATATTTATTTTTTAGTTTTCGGCAGACACAACATCTTTGTTTGTATGTGGTGCTGAGGATCGAACCCGGGCCGCACGCATGCCAGGCGAGCGCGCTGCTGCTTGAGCCACATCCCCAGCCCTCCATGCAGCTTTTTGTTACTGTAGATCTGTAGTTTAGTTTGAAATCAGATATTATGGTGTCTCCAGCATTGCATTTTGGCTACTTTGACTATTCTGGGTTTTCTGTTTTTTTCAATGAGTTTTAAGACTGTTTTTTTTTTCCTAGTTCTGTAAAGAATGCCATTGGTATTTTGATAGGGGAGTGCAGTGAATCTGACCATTGCTTTTAACAATATTACTTCTACCCATTTGCCGCAGTCCGGCTGCAGCAAAATAACCGGGGGGTGACGAGCAACTTGTGTAGATTGATACAGCAGGAGTAGG